TGTCCCTTTTGCTATCCCTTCCCCCATTTTCGCACCCATCCACCCCCATCTCTTTTTGACACAAGATGCGGTGGGAGGGAAAATAACGCGAAAAATGCTGGAAGCAACAATGGTGGAACAATACATATATATACACTAGAACCATCGCGCGCGCTTCGCGCGCGCTCAGGTTCTAGCAGGCCCCATGCCTTGACGCATTCATTGCTCCACTGAAATAGTGGACCACAGTCCACGCATGCCAATCTGCATTCCGAAAGGCCTTCGAGGAAAATGGTTGTGTAGGGGGGCGGAGGCCGTATGAATCGGGTTCACAGAAAGCCTTCTGGGAGCATGGGCTTGGGGGCGTCTTGGGAAGCCTGTTGGGGCGTGCCGTCGTCGTCGTCGTCGTAATGTCGTCGTCGCCTATTGGTCGTCGTCGTCGTCGTCGTCGTCGTCGTCGTCGTCGTCGTCGTCGTCGTCGTCGTCGTCGTCGTCGTCGTCGTCGTCGTCGTCGTCGTCGTCGTCGTCGTCGTCGTCGTCGTCGTCGTCGTCGTCGTCGTCGTCGTCGTCGTCCTCGTCGTCGTCGTCGTCGTCGTCTTCGTCGATTCGTCATCGTCGTCGGTTCAAGAGGGCACTTGGGGCAACTTTGTGCGAAACGATCTGCGGAGGGCCGCGAGAAGGCGATCAGTCATGTTCCCAATCAACTTCCCAAACAGCTCTCCTGTAGCATGATGGTACTTCGAAGCCTACAAAGACTCTCGGGCCCATGATGAACCATGTCCCCGGAAGGCATTCTGGGGACATGGTTTGTTGGGGTGTGTTGGGGGGTCTCTTGGGCGTTCCCTGGGGGCCCCTTGGGGGCCTCCGGGAACTCTCGGGCCCATGATGAACCATGCCCCCAGAAGGTTTTCTGGGGACATGATTTCTTAGGGTGTGCTGGGGGGCCTCTTGGGCGTTCCCTGGGAGCCCCTTGGGGGTTTCTTGCGGCTTCCTGGGGGCCTCTTGGGCGCCTCACGGGGCTTCGTGGGAGCCTCTTGGTGGCCTCCAGGGGCCTCCAGGCGGCCTCTAGGGCCAGAGGGACCTCGAAATATCGGTTGGCGGTCCCCCTCTGGGCCCTCTCTTGGGGAGCTCTGGGGGCACAGTTGGGGTGTCTGGGGAGCCTCCTGGGCCGTCTTGGGGCTCTCTTCGGGGCCTCGTGGCCGTCTTGGAGCGATCTGAAGGGCCTCCGAGCGAGGCCGTGAGGGAGCGCTGGGAAGCGGGGGAAGCGAGAACGCCTAAATCCTTCAGAAACCATCGGAACATTAGTGCATATTGCCTCCCAGGGCCCTCTTGTGGAGCCTCTTGAGTCCGTCCTGGAGCGTGTTGGAGTCCTCGTCGGCCGTCTTGAGGGCAGCTTGGGCGTCTTCGGGGCCTCTTGGGACCGTCAGGGGCCCTCTCGGGACCTCCATTAGCATGTCGTGGCCTGCTTCCGGGCGGGCCCGGGCCGCCTCGGGACCCCTATGGGCCTTCTCTTGGCGCGCTCTTGGGGCACACTTAGGTTGTCTGGGGAGCATCCTGGGCCGTCTTGGGGCCCTCGTCGGGGCCTCGTGGGCCTTCTTGGAGCGATCTGAAGGACCTCCGAGGCCGTGAGGGAGCGCTGGAAAGCGGGAAAAGCGAGAACGCCAAAATCCAAAACACTCGGAAAACGAGCGAATCTTGCCTTCCAGGGCCCTCTGGGGGAGCCTCTTGAATCCGTCCTGGAGCGTGTTGGAGTCCTCGTCGGCTGTCTTGAGGGCATCTTGGGTGTCTTCGGGGTCTCGTGGGACCGTCTTAAGCCCTCTCGGGACCCCCTTAGCCTGTCGTGGCCTGCTTCGGGGCGGGCTCGGGCCGCCTCGGGAGCTCTGGACCCCCCCCCGCAACCCCCGGTGGGCACCGATGGGGGGAACAGGCAGCGGCCCGAACCCCCCCAGGGCCTACTCCGAGATAGAGAATCATGTTCCCGGGAAGCTTTCCGGGAGCATGATTTGTTCGGCTCTCTAAGAGGGGGGCCTCTGGGGGCTTACCGAGGGGCGCCTTTTGGCCTTGTCGGCAAGCCTATTGGAAACATGGTTGGGGCGGTGGGCGGAAGCCCAAGGAATCATGTTCCCGGAGAGCTATCTGGGAAATACGATTTACCGAAGTGTCTTGGGGGCCCGCAGGAGGCTTCCCTGGGGGCCCCTTGGGGACCTATTGGGGCTTCCGGGGGGCCTCTTGGGAGCCGCATGGGGCTTCTTGGGAGCCTCTTGATGGCCTCCGGGGGCGTCCTGGGAGCCTCTTAGGCCGGAGACTTTGAAATGTCGTGCTCTTCGGGCCCTCTTGGGCCGCTCTTGGGACTCTCTTGGGGCGCTCTCGAGGCCCGCTTGACTTATCTGGGGAGCCTCCTGGGCCGTGTCTGGGATTTCTTGTGAGCCTCTTCGGCCGTCTTGGAGCGATCTGAAGGGCCTCTGACGCGGTCCGGGACCGTGGGGAGGCGGAACATGGGAGAGCGCAAGAATGATTCAAAAACCATTGGAATATTTATGATTTTCGGCTTCTGGGGCCCTTTGGAGGGGCCTCTGGAGGCGCTCTTGGGGTGTTTTGGCGGCGTCGTCGGCCGTCCTGAGGCCATCTTCGGCGTGTCCGGCGCCTCTGGGGGCTGTCTTTGGGCGTCCTCGGAACCCGGAAATCATGTTCCCGGAGAGGCTTCAGGGAACATGATTTGGAACGAGGCCCTCTTGGGCCTCCTGAAGCCGTCTTGGGGGCCTCCTGGGCCGGCTTTGGGGCCTCTTGGGCCGTCTTGGGGGGTTCCGTCAGCCCTACAGAACGACCCTTTTGGGCCGTCTTGGGCCCTCTTGGGTCTCTCTTGGGCTGTCTTGGGGCTCCTCGGGGGCGTCTGGGGCACTGTGAAGACGAAGCAAATGAGTATTCTGAAAACGCACGTTTTACAAATGGAATGAGCCGATTTGTGCCTCTTGACGGCCCTCTCGGGGCCCTCGTCGGCCATCTTCAAACCATCTCGGGCCCTCTGGGGCCTCGCTGAGGCTGTCTTGTGGGCTTCTTGGGCGTCCTGGGACCCCGGAAATCATGTTCCCCGAGAGGCTTCCGGGAACATGATTTCGAACGAGGCCCTCTTGGGCCTCCCTGAGGCCGTCTTCGGGGCCTCCTGGGCCGGCTTCGGGGCCTCTTGGGCCGTCTTGGGGTGTGCCGTGAGCCTCGGCTCTGCGGGGGCAACTGGGGCACTGTGAAGAAGAAGCCAGCGAGTATGCTGAAAATGTATGTTTTAGGTGGGGAATGGGCCGATTATTGCCTCTTGAAGGCCCTCTTGGGGCCCTCGTCGGCCATCTTCAAGCCATCTCGGGCCCTCTGGGGCCTCGCTGAGGCTGTCTTGTGGGCCTCTTGGGCGTCCTGGTAGCCCGGAAGTCATGTTCCCCGAGAGGCTTCGGGAAACATGATGTCGAGCGAGGTCCTCTTGGGCCTCCCTGAGGCCGTCTTGGGGGCCTCCTGGGCCGGCTTCGGGGCCTCTTGGGCCGTCTTGGGGTGTGCCGTGAGCCCCACAGGCCGACCCTTTTGGGCCGTCTTGGGCATCTTGGGTCTCTCTTGGGCTGTGTTGGGGCTCCTGGGGGGCGTCTGGGGCACTGTGAAGACGAAGCCAGCGAGTATGCTGAAAATGTATGTTTTACGTGGGGAATGGGCCGATGTTTGCTTCTTGAAGGCCCTCTTGGGGCCCTCGTCGGCCATCTTCAAGCCATCTCGGGCCCTCTTGGGCCCCTCTGAGGCTGTCTTGTGGGCCTTTTGGGCGTCCTCGGAACCTGGAAATCATGTTCCCGGAGAGGCTTCCGGGAACATGATTTCGAACGAGGCTCTCTTGGGCCTCCCTGAAGCCGTCTTGGGGGCCTCCTGGGCCGGCTTTGGGGCCTTTTGGACCGTCTCGGAGGGGTCCGCGAGCCCCACAGGCCGACCCTTTTGGGCCGTCTGGGGCCCTCTTTGGTCTCTCTTGGGCTGTGTTGGGGCTCCGCGGGTGCGTCTGGGGCACTGTGAAGAAGAAGCCAGCGAGTATGCTGAAAATGTACTTTTACGAATGGAATGGGCCGATGTGTGCCTCTTGAAGGCCCTCTTGGGGCCCTCGTCGGCCATCTTCAAGCCATCTCGGGCCCTCTTGGCGCGCTCTTGGGTGTCTTCGGGGCCTCTTGAGGCTTTCTTGACCATCTGTACGGCCCGCGTGGCATGTCGTGGGCAATTTGGAAGCGGCCCAAGGCAGTCCTGGAGGGTCTGTAACCCCCCAAAGGTTCGGGGGGGCGCCCATGGGGGATGATGGCACCGGTTTTGCCCCCCCCCCCCCCCCCCCTTCGGCCTACTCATATATATATATATACATAAATACAACTATATGTGTATATGTATATATATATATGTGTGCACACACTTACATGCACACTACGCATAGAGAGAGAGGGATACCGACAGAGGGAGAGAGAGAGAGAGAGACAGGTGGGGAAGGAAACATTGCATAATGAAACATTGAGGGGCAAAGTACGATGTTCAAGTGGCAACAAACTGAATGCGATACGCATATGTAAAGAGAGAGAGAGAGAGAAAGAGAAAGAGAGAGAGAGAGAGAGATAGAAACAGTTGTGGGAAAGAGTGAAGGATACAAACAGAGAGAGAGAGAGAAACCTACATATGCATATAGAAATAGAAACGGAAAGACAGAGAGAGAGAGAGAGTACGCACACAAGAGAAAGAGAGAGAGAGGCCGGACCGTCAGTAATCAATGGAGAGAAAAGGTTGGTAATTCTAAATATGCGTATAAGTGTATGTAAACGACTATGTGCATATAAATGTGTATGCCTCTGTATATGTATATATGTATATATATACATACATATATATATATATATATATCAGGAGAGGGCGGGAGAACGAGAGAGAGAGAGAGGGAGGGGGAGAGTGAGAGAGAGGGAGATAGAACAAAAGATAGGGCAAGAGACAGAGAGGAAGGTGTGTGCGCGTATGCACGCAAGCGCCTGTTGCTGGTGCCAAGATCCACCGCCTCCACCGCCTTCTGAGGGCTGGCCATACATCCCCTGATTCCTCGCCGCGCGCGGCAGGAGCTGCCAAGGGCGACGAGGCCCCCCCCCCTCCTTCTCCTCCTGGCCGCAGTGTTGCCTCTTCCCGGTGAGGAGTCTCAGAGAAACTACCCAAGGGCCTTGTCCAGCCCTGGCTCAGACAAAAACAGGGCCTCCTAAGGCGCGCCGCCCCGCCATGTTGCCTTTTCCTGATGAGGAGTCCCAGAGAAACTACCCAGGGGCCTTGTGCAGCCCTGGCTTGGACAGAAAAAGGGCCTCCCAAGGCGCGCCGCCAACGCACCCCCAACGCGAGCCAGACGCACTCTCGGGCAAGCAAAACGGCACGCGCCGAACAGTTCCGGAAGACGAAACGCCGCCGACCGCCGCTTGCGAGGCACGATGAACGCCACGCCAGCAACTGCTTACTGCACCGAGCTCCGCCGCAAGCACAGAGCATGAACCAAAGGACGCGACTGACCAACCATCCGGGGAAAACAAACGCTGTCCCAGACGGCGCCGTGGAACAAGTGCGGATCCACCATCACAATCACCCTCCCTCCCTTCATCGTTGTCTTTCCTCCTCCTCGTTCCCTTCCTCCCCCTCCCTTGCTGACCGGTTCGGGAGACATTAGAACGGCTGTCAAGAAACAGGCTATACTGGCCATCTCACGCCGTAGGTAGGGAAGAGAACGGGTGTCAAATGCAACAGTTTGTTTTCCCTGTGGAAGCGCTCTGCGCCCAGTTGCCTGCGACGAAAGGGCGGGGCATGTTCTAAGATGCAGGGCGGAGTGCTGTCATAGCTCGTGGGCCGAAGTTCTTGACATAACCAGGCAACTAATCCAAACACATCCCATAAACTTCTCAAGCACCGTCCATCTGCACAACAATGCACCTTCTCGAGCACGGTCGTCACTCTGTAGGATTTGGTGGGAATGTTGCCGGGGATTTCACGGGGATGTCATGGGGACCCATGGAGATTCCGCGGGGATTGCACGGGGATTTCGAACGGACTGTGCGAGGATTCAGTGCGCGACGCGGCGTTTTCGGCCCACTTGCGGGCGCGACGCGCGGATGCTGCGTGGATTTCGTGGGGATGTTTTGCGGATGGGGACTTTGCTGGGATGTAGCGGGGATGTTGCAGGAATCTTGTCGCGAGATGACCTCACTAACCAACAAATTAATAGATGGTTAACTTTTTGATTGTGGCCACACCGAGATGATACACGAGCTTAGCGCGACAATTGCGTTGCAGAACGCACAGATGATTTCTGAAGTGAATGGGGAGAGAGAGGACGAGGGTAGAGAAAGCAGAAGGATGGACAGCAGGAAGAGGCAGGAACAGTCGAGAGGATGAAGAGGGATGAGCAGCGAGGAGGAATGGGGAGAAAGAGAGTAACGATGATGGTCAAGCCAATGTGGCTGTGGATTTACTCGACAGTGCAACTGACTGTTGGCCATGGGCGCGGCGTTGATGACGGGCACGGTGGCTAAATACAGGTGCGCTGAACGATGAAGGTAACAGCTGAAACAAGCAGGTGGATGCAGCAATGGTGCACCATGCGATGACAACGCGACATGACAGGTCCGAGCGCGGCGCCGAAGTGCCTGGAGCTCCCCGCACCACGACAGAGCGCACTGAGACAGTGCGAGGAGCCGAAGGTCTCCGGCACAGCAGACAGATTCTAATGTACGCCATCGCGACCGTTGTGCTCCCCGAACATCTGGCCGTGCTTGGCCAGCATCAAGCACACGTTCGGCCACTCTTTGGGCCTTGTTCGGGGAGCTCTCCCACGCCAGCCTGTGGCGCCGCACTCATTGCTGGGGCGGGGCTGACGTTCGTCTGAAACTCCGCACCCGAAGACCGGCCTCTAGCCGGGGCGACCTGCGCGGGCCCCCGGGAGACCTCCGCAGGGCCTGGGAGCGCGAGGCTGCAGGACCAGCAGGCTCCTCCTCCTCCTCCTCCTCCCCCTCCTCCTCCTCCTCCTCCTCCTCCTCCTCCTCCTCCTGTTTCTTCTTCTCTTCCCTCCTCCTCCTCCTCCTCCTCCTCCTCCTGTTTCTTCTCCTCTTCCTCCTCCTTCTCCTCCTCCTACTCATCCTCCCCTCCTGCTCATCCTCCTCCTCCTCCTCCTCTTCCTCCTCTCGCTCCTCCTCCTCCTCCTCCTCCTCCTCCTCCTCCTCCTCCTCCCCTCCTCCTCTCCCTCCTCCTCCTCCTCCTCCTCCTCCTCCTCCTCCTCCTCCTCCTCCTCCTCCTCCGCCCGCTCCTCGGCCGCCCTCACCATTGAGCATCGGTCAATCGATCCCTATCCCCACTGAGGTGGCCTGGGAAACCACTGGCCGATCTGCCAAACTAGATGGGGATCTACAGGCTGCTCCCTCCAGGCTTCGGGGGGGGCCCTCCCCACCTGGGGTGGTGGGACGGTGGGGCCAAGACACCATAGCCCGCTGGGGATGGAGACATGTTATTCTTAACCAAAAAAGACAACAACAAAACACTTGAGCAGGGACCGACCGTCCCGGCATTCCTATAGTCCTACCACGACGTGTTCTTAGAACCCCAAATCTTCTAAGAACAAAAACAATGTTCTTGGAACATAAGCCCGATGCTTTAATACAAAATTACCTCAACCAGAAATGTTACAATAACATTTCGTGGAAACCCCCAAAAATGTTCTTAGAACATTCTTCGATGGGGCTATAGGCGAGCCAGGACGCTTCGCCACTGCTTGAAACGCTGGGTTATCACTCATGCTCCCCCGCCTGCCCGTCCTCCCTCTCTTCTACCGATCGTCACAGGCGGCGTCGACCCCACACCCGTCGACGCCGGCCGGCGGCCAAGGCCGCCGTCGGGTCTGCGCTGGACCGGATTGCGACATCGGCTCGGCTCGAGAGCGGATCGACTCGCCAGCGAGCCCTCCCGAGTCGGAGCGGCATCGACCAGCCGCGCCCCGCTTCCGGCTGGCCCTGGCAGGCCCTGCTGAGGCGCTGGACTGTTCTTCTCTTGCTCTGGCCACAGGGCGGTCGCCCGTCGTGTGGCCAGTGCCTCCTAGCCCACGGGGCTGCTGGAGGTACTCTTTCGGTCAGTGAGGTCTCCCTCACTGCCAGCAGTGGTTTCCCGGCCGCCGCCGCTGCTGTGCCTTTTGTCGCCCAGGCTGTGCGGGCGTGGAGCTCCAAAAAGTGCCGGCGAACAGGGCCGGATCGCAGCGAGTCGGCGCATCGCGGCCCCCCGCCGGCGCATCGAGGCGCCCATGGATCGGATCGCGGGCGGCCCTGACCGCCGGCCGCCGCCGGGCCCGCGGCCGCCGCCGCCGCCGTCCTGGCCACCATCACGTCGCAGGGGCGGTCCATGCCGGGGAAGGTGAGGGCGCGGTCGCACTGCTCCTTGGCGGACATGGCCTCCGCGGGCCGCGCAAGGGTTAGCACGCGCAGGCTGCAGAGCAGCGCGCTGCCTCTGGTCAGGGCCCTTCTCCTCGCCCCGCCCCGCCCCGCCCCGCAGCCGGCCCGCAGAGCGAGGGCGCACGACGAGGGGGCGCCAGGGCCCCGGGAGGCCACAGTCGGCGCTCTGCGGGCGGTGCGCGGCCAAGGATGGGCCGAAGGGCAGCCTCGGCAAGTCGCTCGTCCTCCCTGTGCGCAGTGGCCGCAGCTCGCTCGGAACCGGCTCGAGGCGCCTCGTCGGCGCGGCGTGGAGCCCGGCCTCCCCTGTCTGAGCAGCAGGCCGCGGCAAGACCGGGGGGGCACGGGGACGGCGAGCCGCAAGGGAGGCGCCGGGGAGAGAGCTGCCGCAGCGAGAGGCCGTGGCGCTGGAGCAGTGCTTGGTCGCGGCGTGGGCACTCGCTCCGCGCTCGACGGCCCGAAGGCAGTGCGCCTTGGCAAAGCAGCACCGCGGAGGCGGGGAGAGAGGAAGGCGGCCGCGGAGGGGCACCGCAGAGGTACAAGAAGAGCACGCGGGTTCGTGTCGCGACGCCCTGCGCGGTGGTGTCCGACGCCGCGTGGATTCTTCCGCCTTGAGCGATCGCAGCTTGCCGACAGCACCGGTCGGTCGATGTCCGAGAATTCTGGGCCGCTGGCGGCCTTCAACCTTGGACGTCCGCGCTGGGGTCCCCGCAACGCCACAACGTCGGTACGACACGAAGCGTACCGGACACCTTCCTGGCCTGGCCAGGAGGGCATGTACGCACCCATCCTGGGCCCGGCACTGGCCCAGGCGAGGGTCGGCTTTCTCCGTGAGGGTGGGAGGGGGGGGGATGGCGCAGACATCCGGTCTTGCGACTTGCTCCTCCTGCTACGTCTGCCAAGGATGGGGGGACGAAAAAACAAGCTTGAGCGAACCACGAACCCAGGCAACGATATCTGCATGCATGCATGCATACAAACATACACATGTACGTACATCCATACATACATACATGCATGCATTGCATGCATGCATGCATGCATTCATGTATGTATGTATGTATGTTTGCATGCATGCATGCATGCATGCTGCATGCATGCATGCATGCATGCATGCATACATACATACATACATACATACAGACAGACAGACATACATACATACATACATGCATGCATGAGTATATGCATGCATGCATGCATACATGCAGACAGACAGGCAGACAGACAGGCATACATACATACATGCATGCATGCATGCATGCATACATACATACATGCATGTATGCATGCAGACGCGCTTCGACGATCTTGGACAGCGTTATCCCGTGGGCCTCCTGGAGGCAGTTTTGACGCATCGAAGGTACTGCTGAGCTATCTTAGGGCCTCTTGGACCTCTCCTAGGGGCATTTTGGGACCTCGGGAAGCTTTTGGGGTCCTCGTCGGACTGTTGGCCTTTGTGGAGGGAGGCTCTGCTGTTGGGTTCGCGTTCCCCTTCTTGGGCCTCTCTTGGGGCTGTCTTGGGGCCCTCGCGGGCCGTCTTGGGCGCCTCAGGCACCGTCTTGGGGCCCTCGTGTGCCGTCTTGGGGCCCTCTCGGAGGCCTCTTCCTCTATCTTGGAGCGGCATTGGAAGCCTCTTGGGCCGTCTTGGAGCATCGGGGTTCCAAAAAGCTGAAAGCTTGCAAACCCGCCAAAACCACATCGGAAAACAATGAGTTGTGCCTGTTGGGGCCACCTTGGGAGACCTCTTGGAACCTCGTGGGCCCTCTTGGGAGCTTATTGGGGGCCTCTTGAATCCTATTTGGGGCCTCTTGGGGCTTCCCGAGAACCTCTCGGGGTGGAAGGCTCGGATTGTCAGATCGTGTTACCCCTCTGGGCCCCCACTTGGGGCCGTCTTGGGGCTCTCTCGGGCCAGCTTGGGCGCCTCAGGCACCGTCTTGGGCCTTCGTGGGCCGCCGTGGGGCCATCTTGGAGGCCTCTTCGGCTATCTTGGAACTGTCTTTGAGGCCTGTTGGGCCGTCTGGGAGGGTCGGGATGCCAAAACACCCAAAACTTGTAAAATTCATCAAACTCACATCGGAAAACAATGATTTCTGCGTACTGGGGCCTTCTTGGGAGGCGTCGTGGAATCTCTTCGGCCCTCTTGGGAGCTTTTTTTTTCTACTCGCAGCCAGTGCGCGCAACAAGCCCTGCGCAGGACAGGGCCGCGGGATCGTGTCCGCAGCGAGCACGCACCAAGGGGCCCAGCTCAAGCCCACAGTGCAAGAGAGCCAACGGCCTTGCGCAGAAAGGGCAAGCAGCAGGCGGTGGCCCAGCTCTCTCGCTCTCTTTCAGTGTATATATATACACTAGAACCATGCGCGCGTTTCGCTGAACAGCATTGGGGCCAAATGTCGAAGTCGCAGTTTGCTGCTCTATATCAATGCCGTCACGTTGTCTTGGCCTGTCTGCTCGATATAAGCGTCGTCACGTTGTCTTGGCCTGTCTGGCCGAGCACGTGCGGGAGGGACGAGGAACGACGGAGGACAGGACAAAAACTACCTCGAAACAAAATGCACGCGCTGCCACGCCAGCTGGCGGAGCACGTGCATCAACCCCTCCTGGTCGCACCGGCAGGGCCACAAGTTCAATGACTTCGCTTTCATTACTGATTTCTTTTGGGGGCTTTTCTTTCTCCTGCAAGCATGGATGTGGAAGAGCTGGGGGTCGATCAGCCGAGCTCGCTGAGGTTCACAAGTGTACAAAGTCCCCGTATGGCGCGTGGCGGGGTACTGGAGCTGGCTCCTCCATCTCCAGAACTTGCCAATGAAACTACTTGATTTGCGCTCGCCACGTGTGGAGAAAACTTCCGAGCGCAACGAAAGTAAATGCATGCTTCGTGCGTGAAGCCCTCCTGCTGTCTTGGGGCCTTGTTGCGGCCCTCTTGGAGGGCTCTTGGGGCCCTCTTGGACCTCTCTTGGAGTCATTTGGGATGGGTTGGTGGAATGAACGAAACAATTCAATAATATGAAAAATGGTTTGCGCCTCCTTGGAGCCACTGGCAGATGTCGGGCTCCGGCGCCTCCAAGCCTCGTCCGTGGAACGCACTGGCGAGTGCTGACAGCTCCGGCCTGCTGCCCACTGCCTGCCTGCCTGGTGATTTTGAACACGGTAGCTGGCCCCCAACGCAAGCAAAATTATCCTGGCGAAGGACCCACCCATATGCAGTTGTGAGTACCGCAATTGTGAATATCTTCTTCGGTGGCGCTCCCTATGGGGCCACGAACCGTATGAAGGTGTGCCGAATTGTGTGGCGTAGCCTCTGCAGGGGGCTTCCCTGGGAACCCCGACGGCAGCGCCCGCGCGCCGCGACGCCCGTGTCGGCACGCCCCACACGAGGATCGCGCCCGCTTCCTCCCCTCCTTTTTCCTTTTCCTTTGCCCGCGCACTCCAAAGTCCAAGGCTGCGGGCGCAGCGCAAGGCGGAGCCCTCGCGACGCGCGCGAGAACGCCTTCGGTGGAGCCTCTACGGGGCCACGAAACGCGTGAGGGGTGTGTCGAAATGGGTGTGCGGGACGCATGCGGGCACACCCACTGGGACACTTCGGTGGAGCTCCGTATGGGGCCACGAAACGTGTGAAGGGTGTGCCGACATGGGTGTGCGGGACGCATGCGGGCACACCCACTGGGACCTTCGGTGGAGCTCCGTAAAGGGCCACGAAACGTGTGAGGGGTGTGCCGAAATGGGTGTGCGGGACGCATGCGGGCACACCCACTGGGACCTTCGGTGGAGCTCTCTACGTGGCCACGAAACGTGTGAGGGGTGTGCCGAAATGGGTGTGCGGGACGCATGCGGGCACACCCACTGGAACCTTTGGTGGAGCTCAAACGTGTGAGGGGTGTGCCGAAATGGGTGTGCGGGACGCATGCGGGCACACCCACTGGGACCTTCGGTGGAGCTCCCTATGGGGCCACGAAACGTGTGAGGGGTGTGCCGAAGGCGGGACGCATGCGGGCACACCCACTGGGACCTTCGGTGGAGCTCCGTATGGGGCCACGAAACGTGTGAGGGGTGTGCCGAAATGGGTGTGCGGGACGCATGCGGGCACACCCACTGGGACCTTCGGTGGAGCTCCTATGGGGCCACGAAACGTGTGAGGGGTGTGCCGAAATGGTGTGCGGGACGCATGCGGGCACACCCACTGGGACCTTCGGTGGAGGGGCCACGAAACGTGTGAGGGGTGTGCCGAAATGGGTGTGCGGGACGCATGCGGGCACACCCACTGGGACCTTCGGTGGAGCTCCCTATGGGGCCACGAAACGTGTGAGGGGTGTGCCGAAATGGGTGTGCGGGACGCATGCGGGCACACCCACTGGGACCTTCGGTGGAGCTCCCTATGGGGCCACGAAACGTGTGAGGGGTGTGCCGAAATGGGTGTGCAGGACGCATGTGGGCACACCCACTGGGACCTTCGGTGGAGCTCCCTATGGGGCCACGAAGCGTGTGAAGGGTGTGCCGAAATGGGTGTGCGGGACGCATGCGGGCACACCCACTGGGACCTTCGGCGGAGCTCCCTATGGGGCCACGAAACGTGTGAGGGGTGTGCCGACATGGGTGTGCGGAGGAGGAGGGTGAGGAGGCAGCGGGAGGAGGGAGGAGGAAGGAGGAGGGGACGCGCGGCGCTGTCTCTTCAAAACGATGACCCAACACCACAGGATGGTTGGGAAAACTCACGAGAATGAGCGACATGAAACTGCGCGTTCATGCAGGCGTACACCAACGCGCGTTGCGCCACGAACACTTCCCATCGCACCTGAATCGATGACACAAGTCGTTCGGCTTAAACACTTCTCGCACTTCTCAGAATTCCCGAGCGCATGCTCCGCCACCCTCCGGGCTGAAATTTATTATCCGAATGGTGTGATTATCACCAGCACAGGGTTAAAACGCATGCGAAGATTCTGCTTCGCTTCTGCGGAAGAAGATCACTGGGTTTCAGCCCCCGGCGAGGCCCTCATGTCGTCCCGTCAAGTTCGGCCTTCGGTGAAGCAGTCGCTCGAAGTCGCACGGGGTACAGCAATGAGGCGAGCCAGACGACCAGCAAGACGACGAGCACAACCTCGATGGCCATGCTCTCGGAAGGAGTGGCGACTCCGACTAGCACCCAGTAGCAGACGTAGATCGGAAGGTAGCCAATCCCGAAGATCTCGAGCGCGAAAGATACCCGTACCCTTACCCAGACGGGGTGGCAAGGGGCCCTCGGGGCATCACCCCCCCTGGGTCCGGGTCGGCTCCCGAAACCACCATACATACCCGTACCTAGACGGGGTGACCCAACCACCACCCCAGCTAGGTCCGGGTATGTTTGGTTGTTTCGGGCACCGACCCGTACCCAGACGAGGTGGCGGCAAGGCCGAAAACGCTCTAGCGGGCGGCCCTTTTTCACCCCAGCTGACCCCGGGTCCGGGTATGTTTTGGGCTAGTGAGAAGACCGCGAATGAGCGCCCGAGCTCCTGGCAACGGTCCGCGCCGCGACGCCGGAAGCGCTTCGCCATCGCCACTATGTTGGCGCGCATGAGCGGCCAGAGGAGGAAACTGATGGTGACGGTTCGAACGGCGCGCTTGAGAGTCAAGTAAGCGTCGTACGGGCCGTCCAAGACAATGGCGGTAACCTGGTCGAGGAAATACCACATCGCAGGAGAGGCGGAGATGAGGCATGAGGTGTAGCTCACTGGCCGGGCGACCATGACCTGAAGCGCCTTCGAGAGCTTGGTCTGGACCTCCTCGTTGAAGCGCGCCTTGCCGTCACGGCATGCCGCTGCGGTGCACGACTGGCTTGAATCTGCCAACATCTCGAGCGATGAACGCGGCGTGCCGCTCCCGTACCAGCTGTCGATCGCGTCGTAGACCATCTCGCGGTCGCACGCGAGCGCAGACCCCGTCGCTGGGTCCACGTGCTTCTGCTCGCAGCAAAAGCACTTGGTCTGGGCCACGTCGTGCGCGCGCAGCAGCTCCGGCATCGACAGGAGGTCCCGCATCACTGGCCTCGCCGACATGGCGAGGGGGAGCGGGGCGAAGAGGGCGGCGACCTTCGCGCAGGCGCTGATCGGCACGCCGGGGAAGTGCGTGCCAACGTAGACGCCACAGTGGCTGAGCAACACGATGGAGAAGAAGACGCCCGTGAACACCGCGTCGCTTGGCGGTAGGAAGACGATCGAGCCGACGTCCTTGAGCCGCAGCCACGCGGCTACCTCGAAGGCACACCACATCCGCGAGAAATACCTGGGCGTGCACAGCATGAGCATCCGATCCGACTTATGGAGGAAGCCGCCGAGCGAGTGCACCCCCCGCTCCTTCTGCACGGGATCCCGCTGGTTGATGCACATCTTGTCGACGAAGACGTACAAGGGCTGCAGGACACACTCACGGCAGACCTGCCAATAGAAGAGGACGAAGAAGAAGGTGCAAATGCCGGCGGGGAAACACCAAACGCCGTGGGCCTCCTCGTACTCCACCCCAGCCGCCTGGAAACGCTCCGGCTTCTTCCGCTGCACCAGCACGCCAGTCACCTGCAGCGTCAAGACCAGCATGCCCACGGCGAAGCTGGCGCAGAGCGCTGGGACGCCGTTGAAGTACACGGCGAGGGTCAGCAGCTTCACCCATCGGCCGGTCCCCCAGTCGTGGGAGACGAAGCAGTCGAGGCGGTCCCGCTTCCGCGTGCACTCGTAGTGGCTCTGCCTCCCAGCGGAGCTCGCCCAGACCTGGCCAAGGCCGCTGAAGCAGCTCTGCAGCGGCGCTCCGCGAAGCTCCACCAGCATCTCCTCCGTCGCGTCGCGCAGGGTCAGCGATCGGCGGGACAATTCCAAGCTCGCGCGGGCGGGGCCATCGGGGGGATTGCGGTCGATGCTCCCCTCGCTTGGCCAGTGCCCCCCTGCAGATGCCCCTGAAGGGGCCGGCAATGCGGGATTGCGATCGGGAGCCCCCACCACGGCTGGGATCGGGGCTGCAACAGGCGCACGCATCGCAAGGCCTGGTGTGCAAGCATGCTGGAACGCAGGCTTAGACCTGAGCTTGAGCCAAAATGGATACGGGCCCTCTCGGGAGCTTTTGGGGGGCCTCTTAGATCATACTGGGGGCCTCTTGGGGCTTCCTGAGAACCTCTTGGGGTGGAAGGCTCGAATTTTCGGATCGTGGTACCCCTCTGGGCCCCTCTTGGGGCCGTCTTGGGGCCTCTCGGGCTGTCTTTGGCGCCTCTGGCGCCGTCTTGGGGCCCTCTTGGACTGTCTTGCGGCCGTCTTCGAAGCCTCTGGGACTTTTTTGGAGCGGATATTGGGGCCTCGTGGGCCGTCTTGGAGCGTCGGGAAACTGAAACGGCGAGACATCGAACATCTTTACCCTTCAAAAACCAAAGGAACGTCACCGACGTTTGCCTCCTGGGGTTCTATGGGAGGCATCTTGGATGCCTCTTGGGGCGTGGCGTCTTGGAGGCCTCTTGGACAATCAGAAGCGAATTCTGGGTAATCTCGGGCCGGGATTGGTCGCTTTCACGGCCTGAAAACGCCATGTCTTGCGATTTTGGGGCCGTCTTCGGGCGATCTTGGAGAGCCCCCCGCACCCCAGCAGGGCCCCCGGGGCCCCCAGTCCAGCCATGCGCTGTCAGGGGGCCCGTCTCGAGCTCCCCCGCCTCGTGCCCAGGGACACGTATGTATATATATATATATATATATATATATATATATATATATAGATATAGATATATATATATATATATATGTGTGTGTGGGTGTGTGTACGCACACACGTGTACGTACGTACGTACAGACATACAGACATGCATACACACACATACATACATACATACAGACAGACAGACAGACAGACAGACAGACATGCATACATACATACAAACACACATACATACATGTATCCATACATCGACTCATATATACATACACACATACATACATATTTACATACATAAATACATACATACATACATACATACATACATACATACATACATACATACATACATATATGTATACATTCATTCCTACATACATAGCTACATACATACATACATAAATACATACATACATACATAAATACATAAATGCACATACATACATACATGCATGCATACATACATACATGCATACATCGATACATGCATGCGTCCAAACATATATACACACATACATACAGACACACCTACATACAACCATACATACATGTATGCATACATACAACACACACAACCATCCAGGCATACATACATAGCTGCATACGTACATACGTATACACATACATACATACATGCACGCATACATGCATGCATGCATACATACATACATATGCATACATGCATGCATGCATGCATACATGCATGCATGCATGCATACGTACACATCTGGATAGGCATATGTGTGAACAGACATGCATACACACATACATACAAGCATACATGCATGAATGTGTGCATGCACACATACATACGTACATACATGGATACATGCATACACATACATATATGCAAACAAACATGCATCCATACATACAAACCAACAGGAAACCAAACAACCAAACAAACATTCGTATATGCATGCGTGTATACATGCATACACACATACCTACATGAATACGCATATACATACATTCATGCATACATACATTCATACCGCCAGACAAACATACATACAGACATACATACATCAGATCACACATATATATATATAAATAAACCTAACCATAAGCATGTGTGTACATGTACGTATGGCTGCATGTATGTATGCATGTAGATAGGTATGTAGGTATGTAGGTATGTAGGCACGTAGGCATGTACGTATGGCTGTATGCATGTATGTATGTATGTATGCATGTACGCATGTATGTATGTATGTAGGTAGGTATGTGCGTATGTAAGGTATCCCCCGGAATATCACACACTGATAATATTGAATCGTGGTCATAATCGTACATAAAAATGTACTTGCTTGTGTGTATGTGTATATATATATGTATATGTGTGTATGCCCTGCCTGCGCGATGCCTCCTGATGGTCGTCGGCGTCATCGGCTTCGTCGTCGTCCTCCTCCTCCTCCTTGTCCTCACTTCCTTATCCCCCTCGCCTCGCGCCACTCGGCGTCGGGACCCTCTTACTCGCCCATCGGCAGGCCGTGTGCTCCAGACACAAAAAATAGGCGTGTCCATGTCTGGAAAAAAGGAAGGGCTACAGAGGGGACGCGTCACGGTGCGTGCTAGGGGCGCGCCAGGGAACGCGCCAAAGGACGCGCCAGAGGACGTGCGAGGGGATGTGCCAGTGGACGCGCCAGGGGACGTGCCCTGGACGTGACAGGGACGCGCCACGGAAAGTGCCCAGAGACTTGCCCAGGGAGACGCCATGGGACATCCCACAAAACGCGTCAGACGACGCGTCACGAGACGCACCAGGAGACACGCCACGGGACGCGCCGGGGGGACGTGCAACGGGGGGGGGACGTCCAGAGGACGCGCCAAAGAACGTGTCACGGGACGCGCCAGGGGACGCACCACGAAACGTCCCAGGGAACGCGCAAAGGGACGTCTCAGGGGACGCGCAAGGTGACGTGCCGAAGACGTGCCAGGGGGACGTGTCGCGGGACGCGCCAGGGGACGCGCCAGGGAACTTGCCAAGGGTCGTGGCATGGAGCACGCCACGGGACGTCCCGCGCAACGCGCCAGGGGACGTGCCATGGGACGCGCCAGGGGACGTGCCAGGAGACGCTCCTGGGGACGAGCAAAGAGACGTGCAACGGGACATGCCGCAGAAGTGCCAGGGGCGCAACATGAGACGTGCCAGGGGACGCACCAAGGGATGCGCCGCAGACGTGCCAGGGGACGCGCCAAAGGATGTGCCCGTCAGGTCCGATGTGGGGGGAACGTCGTTTTCATGGAGCGGTCACGCGCGGGATACACTTCTTGGAGAATGAGCTGGCCCCTGACCCCATCTTTATATCGAGGGTGATTCCGACGGCCCACCTCGAACTCGCTTCTGGCACAAGTGATTACACGACTGCAGGGGAAACCCAGGAGAAGTCAGGGTCCGATCGGGAAATCGGGTCGAATCGAACATGTGAATCGGATCGCGCTGCATGGGCCCTCGGAGTCGAAATCGAATCGCAGCGACTGCGCCAGGATGCCCGATGGCGCCACGCGAACACAGGGCCGCATCCTATCGTTGGGAAGTCGAGCTGGGCGCGAATCAATGGGGGACGATAAGTGGGGGGGGAGAAAGGTGTCCTTTTCGGACACAGGCCCACTCTGGGGCCCTAAACGCCCCCTCTTAGAGGCCCTAACGGGCTCCTTTTCTGCAGCCGCCCTCACTGCCCCCCCCATTTGTCGCTCCCCCAATTCATTCGCGCCCAGATCGTATCGCTGGGAGGGCGAAACCAGGTCGCATCGAGCCGGGCATCGAATCGGACCGGTCGAATGCAAGTGAGACCTGGACCCAGTCCCGACACTCTCTCTCCAGAAAGAGCGCCGAACATATTTCGCCACGCGTTCGGCGCCCGGAGGCCGCTGTCACGGGACCCCGGGGCCGTCAGGCAGCGGGATGGAGGGCTGGTAAGACGAAGCCAGGATGAGGAGAAAATCGGGCGAGGATCAATCGAGAATCTCGGAGATCCGGCGGCCCTGGAGGATGCATCGGGCGCCGCGGCCTTCTCGGAGAGTCCTGGAACGCTCTGGGAGCGTGCGGGAACGCTCTGGAACGGATTTCGATCCTCGTCCTGGCCCCGTCCGAGAAGCTCCAGGGGCTGGCGGCCCGAAAACGTCGGGTCGTCGGAGGTCTGGTCAGCGAGCCGCCCCGGACGCGCCCCCTCCCCCGGCTCTCTCGGACCCCGGGCTGCGAGAGCGCAGGACATCGACTGGACAGTGAAGGCGGCAGAGAAAAGCCCAGAGAGGTAAAGGGCACAGCAGCGCCAGGGATCGAACAGCCCGAACGCAATACCCAGAGACCAACAGCCCCTCCCCTCCTCATCCCCTCCTCATCCTCACCACCACCACCACCGCAGCAGCATCCTCATCATCATCACCACCACCATCATCATCAGCATCATCACCATCACCATCACCATCATCATCATCATCATCATCATCATCATCATCATCATCATCATCATCATCATCATCATCATCATCATCATCCTCATCGTCATCATACTCATCATCATAATTGTCATCGTCCTAATCACCGTCATCATCATCATCATCCTCCTCCTCCTCATTATCATCATCACCACCACCACCACCACCACCATCATCATCATCATCATCATCATCATCATCATCATCATCATCATCATCATCATCATCATCATCATGATCATCATCATCATCATCATCATCATCATCATCATCATCTCATCAGCATCATCATCAGCATCGTCCGCCTCCCCCTCTCTCTACTCCTCATCCTCCTCTTCATCACTATCATCAGCATCATCATCAGCACCAGCATCATCATCATGCTCTTTCTCCGCCTCATCATCAGCATCATCATCATCATCGTCCTCATCATCACCATCATCATGATCATCATCGTCATCATCAGCATCATGAGCAGCACCATCATCACCACCACGATCATCATCATCATCATCATCAGCAGCAGCAGCATCATCGTCATCATCATCACCATCAGCATCATCATCACCAACATCATCACCAACATCATCCTTATCATCACCGTCCTCAGCATCATCATCATCAGCGTCATCATCGTCATCATGATCAGCATCGTCATCAACATCGTCGTCGTCGTGGTCATCGTCGTCGTCGTCCTCGTCGTTGTCGCCTTCGTCTTCCTCGTCGTCACCATCAGCAGCACTATATCATATCAGATCGTGACATTTCATACAAAGCAATACCATCATATCATAACCTACCATATCACATGATACATACCGGCATCGCCGTCATCGACGACATCATCATCGGCAGCAGATAATTAATCAACACCATCAAAATCATCATCAGCATCATCACAATCAGCATCGTCAGCATCATCACCGTCAATGGTATCGTCATCATCGTCATTACCATCATCACCACCATCATCATCACCATCATCATCATTATCATCAGCATCATCAGCAGCATCCAAAGCATCAGCATCCTCATCAGCAGCAGCAGAATCATCATCATCATCGTCATTATCGTCAGCATCATCCTCATCATCATCATCCTCATTATCATTATCATTATCATCATCACCATCGTCATCATTATCATCATCATCATCATCATCATCATCATCATCATCATCATCGTCATCATCATCACCATCATCATCATCATCATCATCATCATCATCATCATCATCATCATCATCATCATCATCATCGTCACTGCTGCCCCTCATCATGCCTCTCTCCCTCCCTCCCTCCCGCCCCTCCCTCCCCCGTCACCAGCCACCTCTCCAGACACTCCTCCTCCTCCTCCTCCTCCTCCTCATCCTCCTAATCCTCTTCCTCCTCCTCCTCCTCTTCCTCCTCCTCCTCCTCTTCTGGGCCTTCGGGGTCGACCTCGCGTCGCCACGGCGGGATCTGCCTCAAAGTCCTTGACGGAACGCGCTCTGGGGCAGGCCCTTGGGGAGGGTAAGGGAAAGGGAGGGGGCGAGAGGCAGGCGAGGACGGGGATAGAGCAGGGAGGACGAGGAGGAAAAAGGTTAGGAAGTGACATAGGTATGAGGAGGTGGGCGAGGGGGGAAGAGATGGAGGGGCATAGCAAGGAGGTGACGTGTGGAGGGGGGCGAGGAAAAGGAGAAAGATCGCGTGGCGAGTCGACTCCACGTGGCAATGAGTCAGGAGGACTGCCGCGCGGGACCTGACATCTACTGGTCACAAAACAGGAACGACTGGCGAAGATCGGCCCTCAATCAAGACGTACTTCCACAGTGCAACACATCGTAACAATGGACATCATACCAGGAAAAAACACACGATAGCAAATCTTTCATTTCCGGGCACACCAAACACTGGCACCTGCTGCACTACCAAAAAGAACGCCCAAACAACTGTTGGGCATAGACCTGCGGAGGGAACACTCACCGTGAGACTGGCTCCGGGGGCCGAACGCGACATCACGCCCCTGCCCCATTGAAGCCTGCTCCGCCGTGGCGAAAGTGATGAAGGCCCACTGCCTGCCTGGCTCACAGCCCTGCTTTATATATGTGTCCTGCGCCGCGACCGGGAGATGAGAGGGGGAGACGCGGGGCGAGAGGGGAGGATAGAAAGGAAGAGCCGTGCCAGCTGCCCATTGTTCCTAGAGGCCTCCCAGAGTGAGGTCCGACCAAATGGGGGCGGAGGATCGCGCCGCATCGCCGATACAGCGGCGATGCGGCTCGATGTGGAGCCCGACTTTCTCCACGCCGACCTCGACGCTGCTTCGCAAACGTCGCCGATGCATCGCGGCGCAATCCTCCGACACCATCTGCTCGGACCCCACCTGGGAGGCCCAGCTGGCCACGCGCCCAAGAGGAGGAGGAGAAGGGGGAGGAAGAGGAGGAGGAGGAGGAGGAGGAGGAGGAGGAGGAGGTAGAGGAGGAGGAGGAGAGAGGAGGAGGAGGAGGAGGAGGAGGAGGAGGATGAGGAGGAGGAGGAGAAGGGGGGAAGCCTCTGCGCGGGCCGACCCAGGGTTTCCCTGCGCCGCCTCGCGCGCCGCGACCAGGAGGCACTCGAGGAGGCGACGGTGCGCAAGGGCGGGAAGCAGCAGGGGCGCAGAGGGGAGAAGGACTGCACAGAGCGCGGCAGACACGGAGGAGAGAGAGAGAGAGAGGAAGAGAGGGGTGAGCCCCCCCCCCTCTGGAATCGGGAGGTGCCAAAGGTGACCTCCTCCTCCTCCTCCTCCTCCTCCTCCTCCTCCTCCTCCTCTCCTCCTCCTCCTCCTCCTCCTCCTCCTCCTGCTCCCCTCCTCCCCTCCTCCTCCTCCTCCTGGCCCAAGGCGCCCCCAGCTTTTCGCTCCACGTTGGAGCCCCTGGGGGCCCTCTGGGCCTCGTGAGGGGTTGTCTGGAGGCCGCGGGGGCATCCGTGGAAGTCCTAGAGGCACCTTGGGCCAGGGGCACTTCTGGCAGCACCCGGTGGACATGCGGGAGGAGGCTTCCAAAAGGGAGAAAGGCGTCCAAAGCCCCCCCCTCCTTTGCAACAGGAAGCCTGGGCCTCCTCCCGGCGTCAAAGGGGAGGGGGGCAACCTCAAAAGCACGCCCCCGGTGTGGCAAGGAGCCCCACGGCTTCAGGAGGGGGGAGGGGAGGGGGAGCGTCGGACGCTCCCCAACCCTGCTCCAAGCGAGGGGGGGGAGCTTGAAGCTGGGGTCCCCATCCCAGTCTCCCCCTGCACCACAAGCGCGCTCCTGGATGGCGCCTCCTGCGGAGACGCGATCGGGATCTCTGCGTACCCCCCAGCTCGTCAATCTCAGTGTTTGGGGATTCCCGATTGCCTCAATCGATCATGCCCGCCAACCCTCTCCTCCTCCTCCCTCCTCCTCCTCCTCCTCCTCCTCCTCCTCCTCCTCCTCCTCCTCCTCCTCCTCCTCCTCCAGGGGGGGCGTCCCCAAGAGTCAACCCTAAGACTGCGAGCTTCGGCGACGGGGGGCATCCCCGAGACGCTTCGGGGAGCCCCACAGTGAGTGCACCACGAGCACCCTGCTGGAACTGCAGCGAACACATAGAGGTTGGAAATCCACGAAGTGACAACATTTGCCCCCAACGATCCGACTGGTGCGTCGAAGCACCATGCATTGTTCGTGCACTGGCTCGTCGAGAGTCCGCCCAAAACGAGACGCTGTGAGTGTAAGAAAGAGGAGCATCGTCTGTAGGCTGCTTGATGTCGGCTTCTGCCGACACAGACGTGCTGCCAGATCCAGAGCGAACAGCATCTTCGACCCCAGGGGGAGGAGGGAGAGTGGACATGTGCATGACCGCAGGGCGCGCCACTGCCGATCCACTGCGCTGGATCTTACAACTCACGCCAACCTGAATTCTTCGTTGCACGATGCAACTCGTGGCAACAGAAGCAGGATATTTGCCAGCGAGGACCCCAAGCAGTCCATTAGCGCAACGTGGGTGTGCAAGCTACGTGGTGCAGTACATGGCATGCAAGCTATGTGGTGCAAGCTATGTGATGCCAGCTATTTGTTGCAATGTACGTGGTCCTGGCTATGTGATGCAATCGACGTGGTGCGAACTATGTGGTTTAAGCTACGCGGTGAGGCGGCAACGAGGCGGCAACGGGTAGCAACGTGGCGAAATCCCGGCGGACTCCTCAAGCGCGGCGGCAACGAGGCGGCCACGGGCGGCGACGCGGCGAAATCTCGGCGGACCCACCCGTTGAGCAGCAACGAGGCGGCCAAGAGGCGGTCGCGGGCGGCGACGCGGCGAAACCCCGGCGGATCCCCCACAAGTGGGTGGCAACGAGGCGGCCACGGGCGACATCTCTGCGGACCCCTGAAGTGAGCGGCCAAGAGGCGGCCATGTGCGGCGACGCGGCGAGACTTTGGTGGACCCCACGAGTGGGTGGCAACGAAGCGGCGTCGCGGCAAAACGCCGGCTGAGCCTTTCAGTGGGCGGCAACGAGGCGGCCACGAGGCGGCCACGGGCGACGACGCGGCGAAACCTCGGCGGACCCAGCCAACTCCGTAGTGGCACAGGTAAGGACCCCTGCATGCCAGCACTGCAAGCCGTAATGCAGAGGAAAGCGTGGTAGCAACAGCACATGCAGACATGTTTAGACTGCCCGGCTCTCACCACACGTGAGCCAGTCATCATGGGTATTGAAAACCCCGAGCCCTCGACTCCCGCCCCATACGTGCGCGAAAGTAATCCCTCTGGGGGACTTCCTATTTTCATGCTGGACCCTTCGTAGGCCATGTGAGAGAGGCAGACCTGGCGGGTGGGCTCTGACGGGCAGGTCGTGCGGGCGGACCCCAACGGGCGGGCCGGGCGGGCGGCGCCCAACGGGCGGGTTGGGCGGGCGGGCGGGAGGTCCAGGCGGGCGGGACATTAAAGTGCGATTCCAAGGGAAGCGTGGGGAAGTATCGGGCGAGAGCGCAACTCCCAAGTAACTCGGAAGGAAATCCCCGCCGAGAGAGTCATTACTGACCTGCGAATGCGCGACTCCCTACTAAAGAAAAAACTACGATCACCCTCTACCTTCCGCAGCACCAGGCATACGCTGCGTCCGCGCTCCGAGGGCCACGATTCCTCGTAAATCACTCTGGCTTCGCGCTCCCTGGGCCGCGATCCCTCTTCAAAACTGCACTGCGTCCGCGCTCCCAGGGCCACGATCCCCCGCCAGTTACGCTGCGCAAACGCTCTCAGGACCAGGATCTCTTGTCCCCTTCTTCTCATCCTGCTCCCCCTCCCTCTCATTCTCCCCCTCCTCCCCCTCCCCCTCCTCCTCCCCCTCCTCCTCCTCCTCCTCCTCTCCTCCTCCTCCTCCTCCTCCTCCCTCCTCCTCCTCCTCTCCTCCTCTCTCCCTCCCTCCTCCCCTCCCTCCCTCCTCCCTCCCTCCCTCCCTCCCTCCCTCCCTCCCTCCCTGCGGCGCGCGCCCGTCGGCGCTCGGGCGCGCGCGAGCGGCCGCGACATGGAGACTTGCCCTGCACCCTGCTGGGCGCCGCCGGGTGCCAGGGAGGGCGCCGCCATGCAGTGGGCGGCGGCTTCCGCGCGCACTCCCGCCCGACGCCTTCGGCGAGAGTGGCGCAGGACTGAGGCCGGCGCCACGCGTGCCCAGGCCCTGCGCGGGCGGGTGGCCATCCTCCGCCACCCGCTGTCCGTGCACTGGTCTGTGGGCGGGCGCGCCGGCGGACAGGAAGCCTCCCTGGCCGCAGCCGCGCAGGGCGCGCAGCTGCTGGGGCTGACGGAGATGGAGGAGCTGGCGCCGGAGGCCGCGACCCGCGCCAACTGGGCCAGGCGTGGCCCCCCCCGGCCAGGCCCATGCTCCCTGGTTGCAGCGCCCGTGGGCGTCCGGCACGCCGTCCTCGCGGACTTCCGCGCGAGGCTGCACGGCGCCGAGGGCCAGCGCGCCGACGTCCTCCTGGCGGCCCTCGGAGTTCTTCGGGGACCCGAGGGCGAGAAGTCCACGACCCGTTCATCCCGTTCTTCCTCATGAAGCTGTTCGCGGCGACCTTTTCTCTCCACGAGCTCCCTGCTCAAGCTGAAGCTCATCCTGGCGACTGCTTCCCTGGTGGTGCCGACGCTCATCAGGCCGCCGCTCGTCGGGAACCAGATACAGCCCGACCTGAGTTCCTTCGTTTTCAAGGGGCCGATCCTCTTCATGGTGGTCTGCCTGAGTTCCCTGATGAAGTTGCTTATCGCTTGGACGAGGCTGGAGGCAATGTGATTGACGATCCTCAGGCCGCACGTCCACCTATTCGTGATGAAGTCTTTCGCGCTGCTGGTGATGAAACCATACATGACACTCTACGCGATGACGATCATGCTCATGGAGTTTGGCCTCAACCGCCTCAACCTCGTCTGGCGGCCGACGGAGGCGAGGAAGGCCAGTGCTTTCCTGGTGGTGTTGATGGTGTTCTGCCTGAGTTCTGTGATGAAGTTTTTGATCGTGTCGACGACGCTGGAGGTAATGTTCGTCATGACTCTCAGGCAATCCGTCCACATAATCTTGATGAAGTCTTTCGCGCTGCTGGTAATGCAGCCCGTGCTGATCTTCCTGATGAAGGTGAACCTCCTGCTCATCATGTTCGCTACGGCGTTGGCAGTGCGACCTGGTGGATTGCGCGCCAGGCTGTTGCCGATTGCTGGCTCAAAGATCCTGCTACTCCTGCTGCTGGTCGTGAGCTTGTATGCCCTCACCACGACCTCCTTCGCGAAGATGGTCGTGCGGATGGCCCCAGGATGCCTCGTTCGCCTTCCCTGTCAACAGCTACCCTGCCCCCGATTGGAGTGGTGGAGGTACTGGACTATGTTCCTCGTCTTTCTCTGCAGAGAGGTCAGTCCGTGATGCTCCGCGCCGTCGGTAGCAAGTACACCCTGCGAAATGCTTAAGAAATCATGGGTTAAGAAATTCAGAGTCTCAGAACTTGAATAAAAACCCAAAAATTCCATTCAACCCTTAGGATTTACCTTGAAACATTAAGAATAATCGAGACTCTGGCCGAAAATTTAAGCTTTCTTAAGCATCGCCTAAGGTGTAGTTTCTTCTCAAAACGGGCACTCGTTGTTTCGGTGCCCCTTCTCTTCGGTCGTGTCCCTCCGCTCGTCTGTCTGGGGTTCCCGGGGCCCGTCCCTCGCTCGCTTTCGGCCCCATCAGGCCCCTTCCGTCGCGCGTCGGCTACGTGCAGGAGTGCTTGTTCTGACGACAACCCGACGATAAATAAAAAACATGGGCGCGGGGCGCGCTTCGTCCTCGAGCGGGCACGCACAAAATCAACGTGTTCACATTGATGGGCCTGTTTTCCACCACCACCACCACCATGAGTTGGAGGGGGAAGGAGGACGAGGAAGAGGAGGAGGAGGAGGAGGAGGACGAAGAGGAGGAGGAGGAGGAGGAGGAGGAGGAGGAGGAGGAGGAGGACCCCCTCCCCCTCCAACATATGGTGGTGGTGGTGGAAAACAGGCCCATCACAGATGGGGCGTTCCAGAAATGGCCTCGCCTTCCGCGGCGGAAGGCGGCGGAAGGCGGCGGAAGTAGAACGAGGCCGCCTCCGGCGGGCGGAGGCCGGCGGAAGGGCGGCGGAAGGCGGCGGACGCAAAAAATGCGTCCCGAAGGGATGAAAACGTTTTTAGGTTCAGGGTTCCCGAAATCGCCCGCATGTTCTTCCTGATCTCCTGAAGATGCCGCACACCCCTCGCAAAGATTCTCTGCGCAAAAAGCGCTCCGCACCGTCCTCCTCCGCGAGGAGAAGGCAAGGTCGGCGGACTCCGTTACTCCTCGAGGGTTCGGTATGGGAGTGCAGTGTCCTTGAGCGGGCGCACGCGAAGCACGTTTCTCCAAGTGGAAATGAACACTTCACCGCACGTTGCCCTCCTCCGTCCTTCTCCTCCTCCTCCTCCTCCTCCTCCTCATCCTCCTCCTCCTCCTCCTCCTCCTCCTCCTCCTCCGTCCTCCTCCGTCCTCCGTCCTCCTCCGTCCTCCTCCGTCCTCCTCCGTCCTCGAGCGGAAAACCGCGGGCCCCCTCCACAGGTGGCGACATCCGAACCTTAATCCCACTAACCATCGACTCTCCCGAATCGATGGCGGGCGGGGGTAGGGCGTAGATCTTGCTACGTTTTCGACGAATTCTGACACCCACCCCCGCCGCCCGTCGAGTTGCCTGAATCGTCGACTGGGAAAGGTAACTAGGGTTCGGATTTCGCCGCCGACTTCAACCGAGGCACTGGGGACAACTCCACGAACCAAAAGTGCCATGGGCCGTCGCCCTTTCCAGAGAACGGGGTGCGAGCGTCGGAAAGTGCGACGCCAACAGCAGCACCAACGGCACCAAACCAGGGTGGGATAGAAAAAGAAAAAACTACATAAACAGAAACTTTCGACGGTCCGAGCGGATTTCTTGGATCTGCGCTGGACACCCCTCCCAGGCGCGCGGAGCGCGCCAGGGGCGGCGCCGGAGGCGCCGCCGGGGGGGGGGGGGGGGCGCGGCGCGGATCCAAGAAATCCGCGCGGAGCGCCAAAAGTTTATGTGTATGTCGTGTTTTCTTCTTCGAGCGAGAGGAAGAGGCGGAGGAGGCGAGGAAAGAGGAGGACGAGGGAGGAGGGCGAGGGAGGACGACGAGGGACGAGGAGAGGAAAGGGGAGGGCGAGGGAGGAGGACGAGGAGAGGAGAGAGGAGGGCGAGGGAGGAGGACGAGGAGAGGAGGGGAGGACGACAAGAGGGAGGAGGACGGGGCCTCCCCGTCGGCGCGACGGGCGCAGGGCGTCTCGGGCGAGCGGCGGCGTGCGCGCCCGTGCCGTCCCGTCCTCGATCTGGCCGTAGCTCTGGAACGTGGACCTCGGGCGGAGGGGGGCGGAGGATGCGATGGCGATGCAGTCGGACTGGACTGGAGAGGACACGCGAGAGGACACAAGGCCCGTTCGAGGGCCAGGTTGCCACAGAGATGCAGGAGGCATGGGTCGCAAGACACAGGACACGAGGGTACCCTTGATCTGGCAGGGTCGACCTACTAGTCCGGGCCGCCTGTACGACCACCGCTGCGGACATCGTCGGGGGCCTGGCTAAGACCAGGTCGGCCAGGCCTTGGCCTCGGAAGTCCGGCGTGCCTGGACAGCACGCAGTGCGAGACACATGCCTGCGGAGTGACAAGGGGAGGGGGGGGAAGGTCCTGGAGGTCGATGCTGGCGTGCTGCACAGTATGCCCGTGTGTGTCGGTGTGGGAGAGGATGAGAGTGGATGATGAGGATGGAAAGGAGGAGAGTCAGGACGAGGAGGAATAGAACGAGGGCAAGGAAGACAAGGAGCGTGCGTAAAGACATGATCGGCCCACGAACCCAGAAATGAATGTAGCAATGTGAAACATGGAATCGTTTTCAAGACACCTGACTGGGCGACGAGCAATTGCAATGCTGAAGGTATCGATGGTGGTGTATCGTTGCTAGGAGCTGTGCTGTGTTGTGCCGTGCTGTATTGACATGTGTTTTGCCGAGTTAAGCTGAGCTGTGCTCCAGTGCCTTGTGGACCCAGCCGTCCTTGGCATCCGCAGCCTGACCGAACTGATCTAAGCTGCGAGCTGCCTGACCGCACAGCTCGCCCAGAGCTGGCTGCAATCAAAACGCGCGGGGCGCTCAACCGGCTCGAGCTCCAGATCTGATTCGGCTCCGAAGCGGGGGACGAACCAACGGGGAGCGACCCCAGCCCGAAGCAAACCCACAGACCATGGACGCACCGCAACGCGGCCAACCGAGACGTGACGAATCTGACACAGGACGAGCCGAAACAAGACGAGGGCCGGACCGACCCGACTGGAGTCGAGGCACAAAACGAACCGAGGCTGGGACAAGTCGAACACGTCTCGGCTCACCGTCCCGGGGCCACAGGGCGTCGCCTGCCGAAGGAGCCACACTGGGGCCACGACCCTCGTAAGTTACCTGGGGTGTGCGCACCTAGGGCCGCGGTCCTGGCGCAATCTGCGATCGGACCTTGCTGTGCTGAACTGTGTTGCGCCATGTGCTGTGTTACATGGCGTTGTGGGTCAAGTCGTCTTTGGCATCCACATCCTGACCGGACGAATCCGAGTGTCAAGCTCGAGTTGCAAAACGCAGAGCTCGCCCAGTGCTGGTTGTCATCGAAACGTCGGGGGCCCTCAACCAGCTCGAGCTCAAGATCCGATTCGGTTCCGAGACGGACACAAGCCGAGGCGGAACCCAAAGACAGTGGACGGACCGAAACGCGGCCAACCGAGACGTG